AGTGCCCTGTGGGTGCCCCCACCCTCATGGCCCCCCTCATGCCGGGCTGAAGTTGGAGGAAGGGGTTAAACACTTACTCTCCTCCTCCTTTGGCCGTCATCTCAATGCTTTCCTATGGACGCTGGCGTCTTCTCACAGTGAGAAGCGCGGAAGCGCCTCTAGTGGCTGTCAATGAGACAGCCACTAGAGGCTGGATTAACTCATATGTAAACATAGCAGTTTCTTTGAAACTGCTATGTTTACAGCAGGCAGGGTTAATCCTAGATGGACCTGGCACCCAGACCACTTGATTAAGCTGAAGTGGTCTGGGTGCCTATAGTGGTCCTTTAAAATTCACTTTTAATTCCGAACAAGTCACACATTACTGAAGAACCTTCAGACCTTGTTACTGTTTAGCATACAGATCTGTAAGTCTAGTGCGGGTTAGAAAAAAAATAAACCTATCACAAAATACTGAAGGGGTGTTTTCAGGGCACCCATTACCAAACGGAAAAAATCTAACTTTGTAAAATGGAAACATTTTGTAAATATGGTTCTGCTTATAATATCCAATCAGTAAATGTATTTTTAATTGTGTTTATTAGATGACAAGATTACACTTGCGAGTGAATCCTCATGTTCTGTCACCTGGGTTCTGGTGTTCCGTTTTTGAGAGCTCATCTGGATGGAATTACTCTCTGTGGTACCTTTCATGTTACCAATTGATATTTCCTTTGACTTTATCCAAGGCGGCTGCTTTGGCATCTCACAGCTTCTTAACATCCCCATATACAAAAAAAAAATCATCTCTGTCTCCAAGAATTTCTCTGGCTTTGCATGAGGAAGCCACGTCTTCTGACTAGTTGCAGTTTAGAAGCTGAGCTGACCTTAGGAGACTTCAGTTTACTGTAGTGACTAAAATATTTGCCTAAATATACCTGTGGCAAGAAAAAAAAAGAAGGAAAAAAAAGGGAAACCATGGAAACTAAGCACTGGATACTGAACTCTAACTCCCATCATAATCAACCAACCACAAGAATTGTATTTTAATGTTGTTAACATCCGCAAACAGACACTAGGTGAGCTGTAGACTGCAATTCCTATTATGCTTATTATGTTTGAAGTCTATATTGACAACAGCTCTTAGTAGCCAAAACGTTGCACTTTATACCTCAAAAAAAAAACATTTCATTTTTGTGGAATGCCTTGGAATTGAGCTGCTTTTGGAGGTGATACTAATCGCTCTTTAAAGGAACACTATAGTCACCAGAACAACTACAGCTTAATGTAGTTGTCCTGGTTAGTATAATTGTTCCCTCCAGGCATTTTCAAGAAAATGCAGTGCTTACATTGCCCCTAGGGACACCTCCAGTGGCCACTCCTCAGATGGCCACTGGAGGTGCTTCCTGGGGCAGTGCTGCACAGTAGGCAGCACTGCCGTTCAGCGTCTCCACGCTCTGCATGGAGGCGCTGAATTTTGCTCATAGAGATGCATTGATTCAATACATCTCTATGAGGAGGTGCTGATTGGCCAAAACAGTGTTTGGCCCGGTACTATCCTGCCTTCTTGCCAATTTCAGCCAATGCAATGCTTTATTTATTATGATTATGTCACCAAGGAGGTGGATCATGAGCGGGGCTGGCACTGGAAATAAGGTGAGTTTTAACCCCTTTTAAGGGGGCAAGCCACAATGTTTGTGTTCCTGACCCTACAGTGTTCATTTAAGTAACCTGAAGTCTATATTAAGACAGAATTCCAAAGGCTTAAGACAAATATACATTTTCCAACATACGGAAGGTATTTGTTGATATATTATGGCAAAATTCCTTTTAGATATTCCTGTACAGCAATTGAAGCAATCTTTGTGTCATATGTAGGCTATATATCCCATTTTTCAATTATTTATCATGCTTAGATTGTTTTTTTATATTAAAATGATGTATTGAAGAGACTGAACTTTTGGACATTATTGTTCATTTGGTAATAGGAACACAATTTAAGAGTATTGTCTGCAAACCTCTTGAACTTGTATATTCATACAGAGGCATATCTATGTTACTTGGCACCTAGAGGAAAACTCTATTCCCTCCTCCCATTTATAATGTTATTTGTGTGCTGGACTACACCCCCTTCACCTCTCTCCTGATCTACTCTTATCCCTTGCATGTCTCCTATCTTCCTTGTGTGTCTCCTAACATCTCTCTACCACTTAGTTTGTCTGTTAACCTCTTAATTAATTTTACGTCTCTTGCCCCTCTTTGCAGGTTCTTCGCCCCTCTTTTGCGCCATTGGGACGTATGTCTTTTTTAGCAACCTTGTGTCTCTTACCCGCCTTACCCATTTTTATGTATCTTACACCCTTTTGTGTAACTTATCCCTCTCATGTCCTCTTTTGTGTCTATTATCTTCTCTTCTGCCCCTCTTGTGTCTATTACCCCCTTTTCTGTCTCTCAACCTACTCTTGTCTCTCTTACCCACTGTCTTACACTCCCTTTTACCCCTCCTTTCCCCTCTCTCATCCTCTCTTTGCCCTTTTGTGTATCTTTGTATCTTTTGTTTCTTCTCCCACCTTTGAAACAATAGGAATTGCACTCGATCCACATAAGCCAAGAGGATGCTTAATTAGACCATGGGACAACACCAGCAAAACAGAATATAGATACCAGTTGAAGAATAAGGTCCAGGCACTCCAATGACTGACAAAGGGGGTTGAAATGTTGCAGTGTTCCCTTGGTTTCAATAAATGTGCCTAAAAAGCATTGAAGTGCCTGGACCTTATTCTTCAACTGGTATCATATCCCAGCATTGGCCCCGTGACTGCCTATTAACCCCCCCACCCCCTTCCTGTTACTTTACCTAGTACTGTAGTATGGTCTTACAATGGTAGAAGATATTCATTATCCATACCTGCCCACCTCCTGGGACAGTCCTGTGTTTTGTGTTACTATATATATTTTATTAATGGGAACATAGTCAGGTGGAGTTCTGATATACCTGTACACAACATGTCATTGTGAGCTTTAATACTGCGGAGCTCTGTGATACACTTCTACACAACGTGCAGAAGGTGACACACTCATACACACTGCAAATAACTGTGAATTTTATTGCTATCAGATCTGTGAATATGGGCCTTATAGTTTAACCTCTTAAGGACCAAACTTCTGGAATAAAAGGGAATCATGACATGTCACACGTCATGTGTCCTTAAGGGGTTAAACTTTTGGTGATCACAATTTGCCAAAGAGGAGTTAATATAACTATAAAAAAAATAGCAATTCAGTACCTCAAAGTGCGTGAAAACTACTTTTTCCAACAAATAACCAATACCCATAAACATTGAGCTGGACAAACACCATAAATACCTCCTTGATGTGTTCAAGCAACATTATTAAATAATTACTTCTTACTCAAGTTTAACAATTAAAATGAAGTGGTTGTGCGCTGTAATGTAAAACAGCATTTTTTGAGAAGTTGCAATTTTTACATTGCAGTGATAAGTTCACCCCTAGTGGCTGTCAGTGTGATAGCCTGTAGAGGCGCTACCGCTGCACTGACTGACTTTATGGGGAGCATTGGGTTGGACATTGGCAATGGAGGCCATGTCTCTTCTGTGACGCTGTGGGAGGAGGAGAGCAACTCCGAGGGAGCCTCACCGCTGAAAAATGGTAACTAAATGTTTATTTTGTTGACACTTTTTTGCACCGTGGAAGGGGGAGCCTGACTGTGTACCTGTGAGTGGCATTATAGCTTTTGGAATACAGAATTGTGCTCCTAACACCATAGTGTTCATTTAAAGGACACATTTCTGACAACAATTCCTGAAATATGCAATGTACCTTTGCGCACCAGTCTCTATATTTCTACATATCTCTCTCCAGTCTCTTGGCTATAACTATGTAACTCTCGTCGGTCTCTATATATGTATGTCTCCATATTCAGATTTCTACGTAGCTTTCCCTAATGTCAAATTTTCTAATTTCTCCTTTTCCATTTTTATTTTCTTTCACAAATCTAATTTCTCTATTCCAGCGTGCGCTTATCTTTCTGCTTGTGTTGTGACTTTCTGTAAAACTTAATATTTATTGAAGACAAAAACAATAGAGCAGCAATTTCTTTTAGTGGCACAAACAGTACATCAATATTAATGCTTTGACTGGTTTATATTATTAAATGTTTAGCGAGTAAACATAAAAATGAAAATGTTAAATATGTTTTGCAAAAATGAGAGAAATGGAGCATGATAAAGGGGAGAAGAAGCTGGATCTGTGTGCACACACCTGTAACTCCGAATTAAGGTCCATAGGGTTAGCTGTACATAGGGCCCAGATGCAGATAACGGTGGAGTACTTGTCTTGTTTGTGTCTGTCTGCATACAATGGGTTCCTCGCAGGGCCGTCTATAATATGAATAGGACCCCGGGCAAAGCCTTTTCTTGGGCCCCCTGGGCCCTGTCACTGCACCCTCCCTCCCCATTACGCCCAACCCGCAATCACACTGACAGACATACTGACACATACACACACACACACACAGACAGACACATTAAAACATTCGCAGATACATACTGACACACACATACACTGACACAAAAATATATACTGGCAAACATTGACACACATTCAGACATACTGATACACACACAGACACATACATACTCACAGACACATACACTGACAGATATATTGACACAGACACACACAGACACATACACTGACAGGCGTATTGACATACACAGACATACTGACATACACACACACACACTGGAACACAGTGAGACATACTGACATACACACACAGACATACTGACATACAAACACACAGACATACACACAGTATGTCTGTGTGTGTTAGTATGTCTGTGTGGTGTGTTAGTATGTCTGTGTGTGTATGTCAGTATGTCTGTGTATGTCAGCATGTCTGTGTGTGTATGTCAGTATGTCTGTGTGTGTTAGTATGTCTGTGTGTGTTAGTATGTCTGTGTGTGTATGTCAGTATGTGTGTGTGTGTATGTCAGTGTGTGTGTATGTCTGTGTGTGTATGTGTCAGTATGTCTGTGTGTCTGTGTGTATGTCAGCATGTCTGTCATAGACACACACAGACATACTGACATACATACACAAACAGACATACTGACACAGACATACTAACACACACACATACTAACACACAAACACATACTAACACACTAACACACAGACACAGACATACTAACACACACACATACTAAAACACACACACAGACATACTAACACACACACACACACACATACTAACACACACACACATACTAACACACACAGGCATACTAACACACACACACAGACATACTAACAAACACACACACAGACATACTAAAATACAAACACAGACATACTAACACACACAGACATACTAACAAACACACACACAGACATACTAAAATACAAACACAGACATACTAACATACACAGACATACTAACACACACACATACTGACATACATTTAGCCACCCTCCAGGTTCTTACCTTTTATGGAGGGTGGTTTCCCTGGGGTCCAGTGGCAGGCTGAGGCAGATGGGAGTTCTTCTCTGGAACTCCCCTCCTCCCTGCCTTCCTCCTCCCGCGCGGCTATCTCCGGTGGGAGGAAGTGACACGCGGTACTCACTTCCTCCCAGCCGGTACAGGAAGGGGCCCGGTCGCGCTGTTTAAGCGTCACAGCGCCCGACCGGGCCCCTTCTGCCACATGCCCACAGGGTGGCCCTTAGTGCATGGGCCACCCGGGGGCCTCCTTAGTTGGCGGGCCGGTGCGGCTGCACCGCCGGCCGCCGGGTACATGGGGGCTGCTGAAATCGCGGGGCCCACGGGGCAGCTGCTCTGGGGCCCCCCCAGGAGCAACTGGGCCCGGGGCAGCTGCCCCGTTTGCCCCGCGCTAAAGACGGCCCTGGTTCCTCGTGTACCTCCCCGCCACAAACGTCATCACACGATAATTGCATGCAGTTGTTTGCACATCAGAACTGAATAACAGCATAAAATAACTTAGTGGGGAGATTTGGAGCTGGAGGAGCCAAAAGGACATACCAGGTCTGTGTCATGTTTTCCTTGTGGTTTCCGGGCCTCTTAACTACTATATTTTGAAGGTTTCACTGACAACAGGTTTATTTGAACCTTCAGATTTCTAATCTGACAGGGACTGGGCATGTTTGGAGTCCTCCCTGGAAACTCAGGGATTGTCCTAGCCATTTTGGGCATTTTTCTTCCCATTAAAAAATGTGTTTTGTTTTTCACCCACTCTATCCCTCTCCCACACCATTATTTATCAGCACTCACAAGCCCACTCGTCTCAGCACTCTCAGCCACATGTCACTCCCTGTATTCTCCTCCTTACTCTGTGTTCTCATGCTTCACCTATAATTCTCCATACTGCTATACATTGTCTTTTTCATGCTCTCTCCCTGCAATTTCATCCAACCTCTATTATTTACACGCTTCACTAGGGTTTTCAGACCTCTTCTTGTCTTCTGACAAGCGCACATCTAAATTGCCTTCCTTAATGTTGAGGTTATATTGTGATCGCCACGACTCAAAGGATGCACTTCATGCCATTTTCCTAGATTTACACTTTTGTAAAAAAGTTTGTTTTCTCGGAACTCTTTCATTATCAACCTATCAAGAATGACATCGCGTGATCACAATAATAAAGCCATGGTTTAGGTCTAGTTTTAAGGCAAAAATGTTTTGTGACCTTATCAGCATTACTAGCAGAAAAAAAAGTTTGTGGAATTTAGATTGTGATTAGAGTTGAGCGAACCGGACTGTAAAGTTCGAGTTCGTACCGAACATTATGTTTTTTGGACCCCGGACCCAAACACGGACATATCACTGTATATTCGGGTTGGAGTTCGGTGTTCAACAAATTAATGGCGCGTTTTCAAAAGCTGCAGTGCAGCCAATCAACAAGCGTTTGACTCGTGTGCCCTTAGAAGCCTTCACAGCCATGCCTACTAATGGCATGGCTGTGATTGGCCAGTGCAGCATGTGACCCAGCATCTATATATAAGCTGGAGTCGCGTAGCGCTGCACGCACATGAGCTCTTATTGGTGTAGGTAGAGGATGCTGCCGCTTTCAGGGACAGATTAGGAAAGAATTCTGCAAACTAGTACATTAGTGGGGTGTACTTCATATCTGAGAGACAAATAGAAGCGTCAAATACTGCGGTTACATCAGAGTTTTAAAAAGTTCACTTTTTTTGGTGCTAAAAAGTACATTAGTGGGGTGCACTTCATATCTGAGAGTCAAATAGAAGCGTCAAATACTGCGGTCACATTGCAGTTTTAAACATTCTTATTTTCTGGGTGCTAATCTGCTAAATAGTACATTTTGGGTGTGCTCTTCATATCTGAGAGTCAAATCGAATTGTCAAATAGTGCGCCTACAGCGCAGTTGTAAACATTTTTATTTTCTGGGTGCTAATCTGCTAAATAGTACATTTTGGGTGTGCTCTTCATATCTGAGAGTCAAGTCGAAGTGTCAAATAGTGCGCTTACAGCGCAGTTGTAAAAATTCTAATTGTTTTGCTGCTAATCTGCTAAATAGTAAATTTTTGGGCCTGCTCTTCATGTCTGAGAGTCAAATAGAAGCGTCAAATAGTGCGCTTACAGCGCAGTTGAAAACATTCTAATTGTTTTGCTGCTAAACTGCTAAATAGTACATTTTGGGGCGTGCTCTTACTTTTGTGAGAGACAAATAGAAGCGTCAAATAGTGCGCTTACAGCGCAGTTGTAAACATTCTTATTTTCTGGATGCTAATCTGCTAAATAATACATTTTGGGCGTGCTCTTCATATAGGAGAGTCAGATCGAAGTGTCAAATAGTGCGCTTACAGCGCAGTTGTAAACATTCTTATTTTCTGGGTGCTATTCTGTTAAATAGTACATTTTGGGCGTGCTCTTCATATCTGAGAGTCAAATAGAAGCGTCTAATAGTGCGCTTACAGTGCAGTTGTAAACATTCTAATTTTCTGGGTGCTAAACTGCTAAATAGTACATTTTGGGGCCTGCTCTTCATATCTGAGAGTCAAATAGAAGCGTCATATAGTGCTCTTAGAGCAGAGTTGTAAACATTCTTATTTTGTGGGTGCTAATCTGCTAAATAGTACATTCTGGGCATGCTCTTCATATCTGAGAGTCAAATCGAAGTGTCAAATAGTGCGCTTACAGCGCAGTTGTAAGCATTCTTATGTTCTGGGTGCTAATCTGCTAAATAGTACATTTTGTGGCCTGCTCTTCATATCTAAGAGTCAAATCGAAGCGTCAAATAGTGCGCTTACAGCACAGTTGTAAACAATCTAATTGTTTTGCTGCTAGTCTGCTAAATAGTACAGTTGTAAAAATTCTTATGTTCTGGGTGCTAATCTGCTAAATAGTACATTTTAGGGCGTGCTCTTCATATCCGAGAGTCAAACAGAAGCGTCAAATACCAATATAACAATATTGTAATTCTGGGGCAATACCCTCACAAGTCAAACTGAGAGGTCAGTTTATAGGGAAAACTGTTGCCTGGATAAAATTCTAAAACAATTTCCATATGTCCTTTGCAGACTTTACATGCTGGAAAAACACAGGTGCCAACTGCTGTGGCTTTCTGCAGTGTGCAGACTGGCACGGAGGGCAGGGTTGAGGAGTGGGTGGAAGATGATGTGGAGGATGATGAGGTCCTAGACCCCACATGGAATCAAAGTCATGCGAGTGACATGGGCAGTTTGGAAGAAGAGGCGCTGGTCGCACAAAGGAAACCAGCACAGCATAAGAGGGAGCAGGGTGCAAAAGCGGAGCGGCCGTCCTCTAGCGCTCGTCGGCATGTATTATCTTTAGAATTCAGACAGTTATCCAAGTAACAGATGGAGCGATAAAAGGAACCATAACAGATTTAACGAGCCATTCAGAGTTTTGCAGTCCGGTGACCAGGACCCAGACACTGTATGCCTGATGTTGAAGTTAGGAGTCACAGTGTGGAATGGATAAGCAGGGTCTGGTGCAGGATAACTGCACGCCCCCTGGTGTTGAGCACCAGCATTTGTGCGGCCACATACCAGGAGCCTGATGCAGCTTCAGTAAAAAGAGTACTGGATACCAGAAGCCATCACCAGACTGATCCCAATATTTTGTGGGCTACCCCAATTAAAAAAAATATATATATAGATATAAAAAACAGTGTTGGCTACCTCCTCCACCGCTGCTTCCACCTACACTGCCACGGTCACCGCCTCCTCAACCTATGAGCCACTTAGTATAAATTATGTACAACAATAGCAGAAGCTTGTGAAGGCCTTTTCTCCATGCTTTAGGAGTTGAGCTCAGTTTGAACAATGAAAGAGAATACTCTGCATTCCAACCCTCTCTCAAATGGATAATTCTGGTGATCCTCCTGACAGCCATGCTTTAGATTTAGATTTATGTTTTTCCAAAGCTAAAATCAAAGATTCCATCTAGTGCTATTTTATGGCTCAGCTGTATTTTTAATTTTTATGTTATTTTAAGTGATTTCCCTATCCACATTTGTTTGCAGGGCACGTGTCCTACTCTTACCCCCATTTTACTTCCTTTTGCAGCCCTCTAGCCCTTTTCAGGACTTTTTTAGAGGCATTTTAGTGCCCAAAAATTCGGGTCCCCATTGACCTCAATAGGTTTCGGGGTCAAATTCGGGGTCAAGTTCGATCACGAACCCGGCCTTTTTTTCAAAGTTCGGCCAAACCCGCCGGACCCGAACATCCAGGTGTCCGCTCAACTCTAATTGTGATCAGTTTGATAATTGTCTCGATACATCAACTGAAAGGATACCTCCCAACCGTCAACAGTGCTTCCTGCAGGGCCTGCCCTTTGTGCACTTGCTTGAATGATTGGCAGACATCTTGGCATGCATTCATACCACGCTGATCTACCAGTATTATTATTATGTTTATATAGCGCCATCGAATTCCGCAGCGCTTTACAATTGGTGGATGAACAGACATGTAGTTGTAACCAGACAAGTTGGACACACAGGAACAGAGGGGTTGAGTGCCCTGCTTAATGAGCTTACATGCTAGAGGGAGTGGGGTAAAATGACACAAAAAGGTAAGGATAGTATTAGACTTGTGACAGTTGCAGAAG